ATTAATTTATTACAATCTAATAGACTATTTTATAACAATTTGTGGGTCTTACCTTGTCTGTTAAAACTTTTTTATACCTTTTTATTCATTTGGAAAACCACAGACATGTAATATTGGCATAATTATTGTAATTTTATAACATCTACTTTGTTTATCTTTATTAGACAACACCCTAATATGGGTTTATTATTATTTCAGCATTTATTTAACTTTGTATCGAGATATGAAGATGCTTTGCATATTGTAGAAAGAGAAACCGGTCCTCTGATAGTTAAATTAAATTGATTGTGAGTAAGTCTTATTTATTATTTCTTTACCTATTTGAAATGGACTCGCACAAGCAACACATTCATGACGTAAGTAGAATAACTTGGGGTTTAATTTCATGCAGCCCAGAAGTAACTTTATTTCAGTGAATTTGCCAGGTGGATAGATTGAGCTTTTTGATTCTTGCTTTTAGATTATTGCAGATTTGTATATTAATAATGGTGTCCATGGATGATGCGGCTTTTTTGGCAAGGCAATCGGTATTTTTGTTACCACTAATCCCGACAAGGGATATCATAGTTACTGTGTATTTTGGTTTGTAAGAAGCTGATATATGTCATCAATATCTTGGATGAGAGTATGGTTGGTGGATATAGTCTTAATGGAGTGTATAGTTAAAAGTGAATGGCTATATGTGTGTGTTCAGAAATTGTTGAGCATATTTGAAAGCACGTGAGCTATCTAGTAGTTAGTATCGCCAGTGTGGATACTACGCCCAAGAGAAATTTTATAGAGTTTGTTAGGCTATTGTACAGTGGTTACGGAATATCCAACTCCACTTTTATTCTTTGGCGCGTCAGTATAAAGAATGTTATATTTATTTTTGTTTAAAAGTTCTAGAAAGAGAAATTTTAATGTATTAAATTGGAAAAAGACTGTATGGTCTGTAGATAATCTGAACTGTAGATGTCTAAAATATAGGTCAAACAGGCAGGAGGTTATAAATACCTTAAGGAAGAGTAATTGTAAGTAAGTGAAAAACCTTTTAAAACTTGACATTTAAAAAGTACTTATTATACCAATTGTTGCCTTGTTGAAATAAGGGAAAAACAACTGTGCCAGAGGGAAGAAATAAATCCAATACGACCTCTATATTAAGGAATTAAAATGAATAAGTTGTCATGTGAAGGTTAAATTCTGAAGTTAGTTTTAAAGCGAAAATTGAAATGAACAAAATTGTCAAAGAATTATCAAAAAATCAATGAAAAACTGTTAAAGTTTGACTCAGTATAGACGGAATTAAGTGAAAATAAAAAAAAACAAGAAGATGTCTCATTTGATAATTCAGAGTTTAATAATCATCATGATCTTTGGCTCTACAACCCTGGGTTGGTCTTGACCTGTTCAAGAATTAGTCTCCACTATCTTTCGCCGTGGCTTTCCAATTTCTGATCCCTAAGATTCCTCAAGTCATCTTCAACTTGAGTTTTGAATCAAGATTTTGGCCTGCCTCTCTTCCTGGTTCCTACTGGCTCTTGATAGTATATCTGTCTTTGAGGGTCTCCAGTGTCCATTATTTCAAGGTGTACTAGCCACCTTAGTCTATTAATTTTAATATACCAGACGATGTTGCATTTTTATAGCTATAGTCAGAGGTTAATAAGAACTGTAAATTATCAACAATGATGATCAAATTAATTACATCACGGTTAGGATAATTGGTGTCTAATTAAGCAAATGGCAAAAAGCTTACTGATAAGTAAGCATTATGGATCTTAAGATTATCCCTATTTCATAAACCTACCCATACTGACACGACTATACACAATTTATCATCTTATCCAACACAACATAAACTGGCAGCTTATCATAGTATGTTACATAGATTAACAGAAATTCCGATGTCAAAATACAACTTTGAGACAGAATTAAATATAATTAAGCAAATAGCAGTAAACAACGGATACAACAAACAAACAATTAATAAAATGTTAAATCAAAAACTACACAAGAAAGCCGTGAAATTAGTATTTCCACCACCAGAGAAAAACCCAGTACCTTCTGCTCGATTACATATACAGGCAAAATAACAACAAAAATTGCCAAACACATAAGAAAGAAAGGAATAACACCAGCTTTCCGAACAAATAACAACCTAGGCAAATATATTAAAAATAACAAGAACCAAAATAAAAAACACTTACATAGTGGTGTGTACAAACTTCAATGTAGCGACTGCCCAAAAATTTACATCGGTCAAACTGGTAGAAACTTTGATAAACGAATAGCAGAACATAAAAGGGCTTTCAAGAATAGAAAAACAGATTCGACATACGCACTTCACCTTCTAGATCATAATCATTCTTTTAATGACAAATTTAAAATTCTTCACATTCGAAATAAAGGCCTTAAGCTATCTTTGTTAGAATCTATGGAGATCAACAAATTAAAAACACAGATATAATTCTGAATGACCAACTTGAGACAAACAGTTCTCATCTCCTCAACCTATTTCATTAGAGACTATAAATTTGTAAACCCAAGCCAAAAATAGATCACTTGAGAAAGGCAATCAGCCGAAACAGCTGTAGTGATAAGATTTAAAATAAATTTTGTGGAAGTTTGAAAACAAAGTTTTCAGTGTTTTATTGTTACATAAAATGAATTTCCATCAAGTAACGGTCGAATCCATCAATTGTTTTCGCTTTTGTTTATTAGCAATCTTCAGGCCTGCTTCTAGTGGTTCTGTTGTTATTTTATCGTTTAATTCGTCTAGTTGCAAACCCTTTAGCTGTGATATGTCACTTATTTTTAGCTGGTTTATGTATTGTTCTTTGCGTTCTTTAAGAAGTTCTGTATCTATCTCTTTTTTAGATGGTTTAAATTTTTGTCTGTCTGTTGTGGCGTTAATTTTGATTTTGGCTCTTACAATTCTGTGATCACTTCCTACGGAAATCATGTTTATGACCGTAACGTCTTGTACTATGTTCTTTTCTTTGAATAGGTTCACGGCCAATCTCCCCCCCCCCTCTTATGACAAATATATATATATATATATATATATATATATATATATATATATATATATATATATATATTAAATATATTAAACTATCATATACGATTAATTCTAAATATAATATTACCAGCTTAGTGTATCTATAATTCCTATTCAAAACAATAATGGTCTTCCAGCTTAAATTGAAAGTTTCTTTAGTACATGACTTGCATGTAAATTAAATTTAAATATTGAATCATCTGCCTCAATGGATTTATTTTATGTGCCATTTATATAAATCAAAGATAGTCGATATAAATTTATACAGACGTTCGTCTTTCTGTCGATATGTTAGAATGCGGTACAAGCAAAATCTTGCGATTTAAATTTCAAACGAAACATCAGCACTGAATGTTAAGTAGCTAGTAGATTGTGTCCTACGACGCCGTTCAACATGCGGAATCGTATGTATAGTGTCTTACATTATTTATATTGCAAACTTTCGTAAAATATAAAACAAAAATATACAAAAAAGTTATTACAAAACACATTACGAATATTATTATTTGTAAATCTATTATTTGATAGGCAAATTAAATGTCATAAGGAAAATATCAAAGGTAGACACGGGGCAGATGTATATTAAGGTCGACATTTAATGAACATTTATGTAATATTCAAAACCTAAAACCCTAAATCATACCGATCAACGTAACGTGGAGAACATCAAATAATCCCTAGGAATTAGACGATAATTCCTAAGACGTTGTGCTGTCTTTGTCAGGGGTCTTTATCTTTACCATCTACTTTGACGGCCATGAATGACAACGAAATATTCAGGAGACATTCTTTGAACTTTATGAGTTTGAATTTGTGTCAGCCCAAGTGTCTGACGAAGCAAGGATGCTAAAATGATGTCATAACACTATATTGATACCGATTGGAACACGAAAAGTTTGACCAATTAGTCCTCCTATGCCATATATTTAGCTTTTCAATTCATCAAAGCGATAGCAGCTTTTGTTAAAATATTTAATCTTTTGCACATTTCGTATAGAGGATGGAAAACGATATTATTAAATCGTTTTCGTTCATGGCCATATATCGTATATATAGGGAAAATCAGGCGCTATCTAGTGCCCTTTAAAGAATAGAGACAGAGAATGTCTTTGTGGTAGGTTTGCTTCTTATTAAACTAGACTGCACTAGTCAGTAAATGTCTGAAAGGTTTTGTATTAAGCACCGATATACGAGGAAAAATGTTTTTCATTCCCTCGTACCAGCAGTTCTATCTGAAGAGATAAAATGCCGAAATACGTATTATATAATAGATAATAGATAAATATATAACTATAGAGGCATCACCCTACTTAACGTGGCATATAAAGTATTGTCCAACTTATTATACAAAAGATTGATCCCCTCTATGCTGAACAAACAGTTGGGAATTACCAGTGCGGTTTCCGACCCAATAAATCAACAACGGATTAAATATTCATAGTCAGGCAGATTATTGAGAAAACGCTAAGTTCGGAGTCGACACCCACCACATATTTGTGGATTTCAAAGCCGCATACGACCCAGTCAACAGACAAAAACTTCTACAGGCTATGGTGGAATTTCAAATGCCGCTTCATATTGTTCAACTAGTGGAACTTACATTTACAGGCGTAGAGAGTGTAGTCAGTGCAAAACGACTTTTCAAAACCTTTCATTGTAAAAATGAACTGAGACAGGGAGATGGACTGTCGTGTCTCGTAGTTAACCTTGCACAAGAAAAAGTAATTCGATAGTGCCAAATCAATACGAATGGCACCATCTTTAATAAATCTTTATTAGTCTTTGTTAGTTTCATATGTTTTTTTGGCATTTAACTTAGTGAAAAATAAATAAATAAGAGTGTTATTTAAATTATTTATTGCTATATTTCCTACATAATATATAAAATTATTAAAATTCATTTCATACTTATCAATTTATTTTTTTGCAGGCCGTCACTAAGGAGGATCTCGGCATGGATTCGTCCAGGATAGGACTGGACTTCATCGTCGAGAACCCCGATTATATTCGAAAGTTAGCGGCAGCCTTGGATACACAAAATGCTACTGTTAAGAAACAAGTATTCGAATTGCTGTCAGCTCTGTGCGTCCACAACGAAGATGGCCGAGCAAGGGCACTTGATACATTAGATCATTTTAAGGTAGGTACTTCAGTTAGTCTTATTTGTAAGGACTTATATTAATTTAATTCCTTCCCTTATTCATTTAAGGTCAGCCCTATGTTTTTAAGAACGTTTCTTGAGATATATATATATATATATATATATATATATATATATATATATATATATATATATATATATATATATATATTTCTAAAATAGTTTATTGCGGTACGTGTTTCCTTAGTTTTTTTTTTGTTTTTCAACTGTTAACCTATGGTTACTTATCCCGTGGGATCTAAGTTTAACTTGCCCACCTAGTATGTCATGAGTGGTATATTAATGAACTCAACCTCATACCGGCACGGTTTATTTAGATTTCAGTACAAATGCAGTGTCACCGATCCACTTAATAGTTTATGGAGAAAAATAACCTAGGTTTTCCTGGATACCAGTACCTATATATGCTGAAAGAACTGCATTGGAAATATTTAAATCTCTTATTAAAAAGTATAAAAGGTATAAAAGGATTGTTAAGGAAAAGAAAACCTCCAAATAAACTTAGGCATACATTAAAAGAAAATTTGATTTTCCAGTTTTGAGGATTAGATACTTAATTTATAAAGGAATACCTATATGATTATTTATTAAGATAAAAAATATCTACGTTGTAGCATTCAAAAATGAAATACAGTGATAGGCTCATGCCCATGTTACTTTGATTTTTTAGCGTCAACTAATGTTGTTAAACCATCTTTTTCTCGGGCGTCCTATTGCCTTTCTTCTGATTGGTGATCGTTTTCTTGCCATTCTGACTGTTCCGTTTTCTGACAGTCTTTCCAGATATTGATTCTATTCTATTTTTCTTCTTTTTGTATTTATATTATTATTTATAATTTCCTCACTTCTAAACCCATACGCATTTCGCTATGTACGCCATTATTGGCCATACTTTTGATTTATATATCCTAGTTCTCATTTCCACGACATATTTGTTTCATCGTTTTGTGTTGCTTAGAAATCCTGCTGATCTGTTCGCCTCATTCACTTGTTTTTGTAGTTCTTATTTTATTGTTTAAAACCAGTTTACGTCTTCTTGGTTTCGGTAATATCACTATACAATTAGTTTTCTATATTGAAACCACCATATTATACAGGACGAGTCATGAGAAACTGTACATACTCCTACCTCGTACGAAGGCAACCATGGGAAATAATAAATGCCCATTAAAGAGTCACTGCTCCCATTGTTTAATATTGTATAGGGTGAGTTGTGAATTTTGACTGAAATTTCTATTCGTCATGACTTTTAAATTGTAAGATCGATGTGTCTCATATTTTGATCAAACGTTACACTACGTTACTACTACACTACTACACTACTAATCGACTGTTTTATTCAAGCTAGAAAAAAAACAGGTTCGCCTTAAAAAAATTTAGTTCATATTTATTTCTTCTTCACACAAATACCTTATTTTTAATTAAAAAAAAAATCAAATTTGAACATGAATTTAAAATGAAAATTTAACAAAATGAACCATAGATGTATGTATGTATGTATGTTCTTGCAACTTTAAATTTGAAATTCTTACAGAATTAAATTTCTTTGAACAAGCATTTAATACAACATTTAACAAACAAAAGGAATTGTTTTTTGTAGTTTGTTTTTTTAAAACTGGAAAAAATCAGGTTCGGTTTTTCGGTTTTTACAAAATAGTTCGTTTTGTTACTAATTCGCCGAGACGACAAAATTTTGCATCTAGGCATGTTTTTTTTTCTGTTAGCGCCCCCTCTGTTTTTTCTGATATAATTTAACCACAATCCAAAAATCCACGTTTATTTTTATCAAATATAGCTGCTCTTGATTTACGAACTTAATTTCTTCATTCAGGTCTTCCACTTCATCTATGGTAGAATTATTTGAAATGCATTGTTATTTCTTCTCTAAATAAAGATCTCTTTTTCGGGGATTTGTCTTATCTGCTTATCTTCACGTTTGGTTTGAATATTCCCTTTTTTGACCCGTCATCTTCTCTAATATTATCCTGTTTTTTTTTCAACTTTTTTTATTTTCGTCGCAGATTACTTTTCTTCCAATGGTAGTTTTTGGTATTTGTTTTATTTGTCACACTTGGAACAACTGGAAGCAACTCTTTAAACGTTTTCTGCCGATCGTTTGAATATGTTGAGACTCCGCCTTCAGACACACTGTCTTCGTTTGTGATTGTGCTTATTAAGGGAACTACGACTATTTGTGGTTGATGTGCTGAATTATAGGTGGATGCAGTTACATCTGCCTGACGATCTTGAAAAGTTCACCTTCTTCTTCTAACGGTGCCTTATCCTTAAGGGCGTTGGCCATTACATTTGCCCATTTAATCTTATTTGTAGCAGCCCTGAATAGTTTTATGGAGGTCATGTTCGTCCATTGCCGTAGGTTTTTAAGCCAAGAGTTGCGTCTTCTTCCTGGTCTTCTTTTGCTATTGACTTTGCCTTCGATTATAAGTTGGAGCAGTTCACACTTTTGATTTCTTATGATGTGACCAAAATATTGTGTTTTCCGTTCTTTTATTATAAGCATAAGCTCTCTTTCCTTATTCATCCTCCGCAAGACTTCCTCATTTGTCGTATGGCTCATGAAGGATATTCTGAGCATTTTCGGTAACACCAGAGTTCAAATGCTTGTATTATGTTTTGTGTTGCTTCTGTCATTGTCCAGGCTTTAACACCATAGAGCAAGTTGGAGAAAACAGAGCACTTAAGTATTCTAGTTCTCAATAAGATGCCCAGCTGGCGGTTGCATAGAACTTTTTGTATTTTGTAAAACATTGTACGTGCCTTTTCCAGGCGTATTCTTATCTCTAGTGAGTGGCCCCAAGTTTCATCAAGATTACTTCCAAGGTGCGTTGTTCTTGTTACTTTTTCCAGATCTGTTTCGTCGACATTGACCTTCACCCTTCTGTTTTGGTGCTTGCTGATGGCCATCGTTTTTGTCTTCTTTGTATTCAATTTCATTCCAAATTCTCTACAGGCTGTCGTTACTCAGTCCATTAAGCCTTGCAGGGCTTCAGCACTATCTACCAGTATGACAGTGTCATCAGCATATCGCAGGTTATTTATACATTGCCCGTTTATAATTATACCATCCGTGGTGCCTTCCAAAGCTTTCTGAAATATCTTCTCAGATTTATAAATCCATGTTTATTACTAACCGGATCTATATTTTTACAAATTTTGGACATTATAGCAGCAAAAACGGATTTGGAAAGTTTATGTCTACAGTTCTTTCATTGCCACTTAATGAGCTCCTCTTCCCTTTCATTTTGTAATGCCAGAACACACTGAGGTCCATTTGTCTAAGGAGGTGGCTGGTGTGGAAAGGAGAGTTTAAAAATGTATTTTTTTTTCTTGTCTTGCCATTTGATTAAGGGCTCTGGCCATCGTAGATAACAATAACAGGTGGGTCCTGGGTTGTTTCTTAAAAAATTATTTTTGAAATAATTTTGAAGGGTTTCCGCTTTCATCCAGCTCTTTTTTGCGGCCGAAGATGTTATCCTAGCATATTTCTCATCCTGTTTTGTGAGCAAAGATTCTCACATATTCTTTTCCCTAAATTCAATACGTGGTTGTAGTTTTTCGCCTGTCACGCTTGTATCTAGCAACACAGTCATATTTTCGCTCCCATATCCACTAGTTATTCTATAAGCAGCTGTTCCATTTGAGACAACAAATTTTATTCTGTTCCTATCTAAAAAAAAACTAGTTTTATCTATATTGTAGATATATGATGGAGAAATACCGTGTATGAGGTTTTTAGCAGAGTAAAGTAATCACTGAAAATGAATAGATATACACTCATTTTTCTTGCTGGATCCACTATTTGTGGCTTTTTCTGACTGAGATTAAATGTTTTTTTAAATCGCATGAAATGGTCATCACCTGGTATACCATCCTTAATTGAAGTTACTATCTTCTGCTACCTTTTTTTCTTTGTAAGATAAGGCAGTAGGTCTCCCATTGTTGAGCTTTTGATACCCCTTTAACCTTTATGATGTTTAAGTAAGGTTGCTTTGGAAATCTTATAAATTATTCATGCTCTGTATACAGTTATTTCTTGATTTTTTACAGCTTCAACTGCTGATTTTAGACTCTCTTTGGAGTATTGAGGCAGCAGCTTTTTGCGAACATATGTATGTACCATGTCTGAAATAAATAAGATAAATTGGGACAAGTAGAATCTAACATAAAGTACACTTGCCCCATCCACCATTTTGTTGGGGGCAAGTATAGCCCATGCATTGATTACTTAATGTGAATTAATATGCGTTTTCTATTCATTTGAAATATTAGGACTACTCTCTAGTGGGTACTTACTTAAACAGTTTATATAATTTACCACTTCTGTTAGGAATTATACGCACCGACAACAACACTAGTTAACTAACTCGATACACAGAACATATACAGCTTATAAATAGTTTAATATTCAATAGGTGGAATCATTGTACAAAATTTGAGTTTAGTAATATAAGCGTTGGATCGAGTTGCCCCAACTGTCCACTTACCCCGGTGTACCTTACTTACTCTTTACGATTTAATTTTCGTTATTTTGCTTAGTTCCAAAATATTTCAGATGTAATTTTATCGTTTGGAATTATAGGTATTATTTCTATTATATTATGGGCTTATTCTATTGTTGCCTTACAAAAAATATAATTATATTTAGCAAAAACTTAGAAACTCCTTTAAACTAAAGAATATAGCCTTCATACAGCTACTTCGGCCTATTTAAAATGAATGAATTAAAATAATCGATTTTCGCCTTTTTCGATAAATGTCTTAACCTAGATACTGATTTGTTTGTACTTTGGTTTATACAATATGTTTACTATAGATACTTGAATTAAAATTAATGGAAAGTAAAACGTAACGAATAATGTGCGTGAATTGCTGTACTAAATAGATTATTTCATTATTTGATGTCTGTTAGATAAATTGTGATTATATAACCACCAACTATTCGTAATGATTATTGCTTA